TACACTTTGTATTCTCCCGATATTTGCAATCCGTGAGTACTTAATGAGAATGATAAAACTGCGCAAGTGAAAATTGCGATTCCTGTGGCGCCGCTATTTGATGTATATTTTCCGTACTATTTTTGCTGAGGAATACGGGAAAAATAAAGAAAAAATTCTCTCTCAATTAGTTTTTTGGGATATAAGCATTTCAATGCTTATTTTTCAAGATACGAACATTTCTATAAAGCTTCGTATAGGTACTTGAAATACCAATTCATGCACTCACATTTTCACGTTTGAATTCAATGATTATATTTACAGCATCAAAACAACAGAACTCAATTTTAATGGAACTTTTTTTGTCGAAGATTTTTTTGATTGAATTTTTTTTCTGAAACAATTGCAACAATAATCGCAAAAATTCAGTCAACAAAATCTGCAACGAAAGAATTTCCAGTCAAAAACGCATTCAACCAAGGCAGTGTCACCCTTGTGACTCTCGTGGCCCTAGCGACTCCTTTTTTTTATGTGACCCTTGTGACTTCGTGAGCTTAGTGACTCCTTTTTTGTGACCCTTGTAACCTTACCTCAAGTTGGGAGAGCACCTGATACATAATCGGAAGGTCCCGGGTTCAAATCTCAGTCTGGACTTTCGAATATTTTCAGTAAATTTGTCTTGTCAATTACTATTGAGAATTATTCTGGTTCCCCTCATACCTCCTCCAAAATCGTATCCAGCAATATCCAGTGACGCCACAAGATGTGGAACGCTACACGGAGAGAAATATTCAATAAAACTTACCAGAAAAAAGACGTAAAAATTACGTTCCGAAACGTAATCTGGGAGCGAAGTAAAATTCAATAAAAAGTGTCAATCGTCACGGAAATCCTACGATCTGTTCCGTAAAAATTACTCATCCGTCCGACGTCTCACGGCTAGCCATGAGTCACCGTGAGGGGGAGATTTTAACAACACGTTCCGTAATTTTTCCGGAACTTTTCGTAAAAATTCTTAAACATCCAAGAATTTTCATGTTCTGAGGCATAATAAGTCTTGAAGTTTCTGTTAGATTTTACAACTTCCAGAAAAATTACGTGACTTTTTCGTATTTTTTCGGTGACAGACCCGAAAATTTATTGAACGTTTCAGATTTATTCTCTTATATTCCTATAGAAATTCACTGAAAGCGATTCTCGCTTGCGGATTACGTGAAATGTTCCGTAATTTTTCTTGAATATTTCTCTCCGTGTATATAAACCTCTGTCTTCTGTGAAAATCTCTATAATTCGGGAGAAATAGTGTAGATGGAATTTTTTCATTATTTTTCCCGCAATCCTCGGGAAAAATGGTAGGCAAAACATAAGTTGAATCGTGGCGCCAAAGGAATCGTATTCATCCCCTGCGCAATTCTTCATAGCAATCGGAGATTAAAAATTTCAATAAAATCTTTCCGTTTGCCATAAATATCAATATGACCATTCCCATCGACAATAATAATGCATCAAAACATCGTTTCCCCATGAAACAATGCCTCCATTCAATAACAGGATTTCATTGACGCGCATCAGCCCCAGTGTTTATTCCAGAATATTATGAAATATATTTTTAACGATCACTAAAAGTTTCAACTGATTCCCCCAATCAATTATGAAGCTGTCAAAACAGTGACGAAATCCGGACGCATAAATATAAATGCAACGATAACCCCGGCTTCTGCCCTCTCGAAATGCCAATATCACTGTTTTTTTTTTAATGCTGCGCAGCCAAGTAAAACCGCGTCTGCTGTACGAGCAGAATTAGTTGTTGAGCAGACAGCGATTGATCAACTCAACAAATCTAATTTTTTATTGATCTCAGTAAGATTTCGATATTGCATCGCTTTATTAAATATTGAGATATGTATGGGCAACCGATTCCGCAAGTGCAGAGGGAAGGAGTGGACGGAAGCGATTATTTTTTGAGTGGATCTCCACCTGACAAAGTGAGTTATTGTGGGAATTTTCCTCATCCAAATGTCAGCCAATAGAATTGCACTATTCGACTGTTATTTCATATAGTCAACACGGTATTCAGCTGATAATTTTTGATAATTCAACTGGTAATTTTTCATGTTGACTATATTTGTGGAAAACAAATGATTCCGTGGTCGAGTGAACCCCTGGTTGGAACTGTCAGATGGATTTTGTCTCATAGTGCAATTTTTTTGGCCGACATTTGGATGGGAAAATTCCCTCCCGAATACTACTCGAGCTTCGAAATTAATCGAGTAATTCCCTCAAGGTGCCCTGCACACAAACTAACCTATCGGGAATTGCTCGATAATTTTGAAGCTACCGTGGTATTACTTGTGGTAATATTTTCCGTAAGAGAACAGGAAAACTTGTGAGTTTTTGACGAAAGACATTTCACGCATGTAAAAATTCAATTGAAAACCTAGCGAATTCGCTAGAAAATTCTATTGGAATTCTGTAGCAATTCTGTCGGGTTTCTATAGGATTTCTATAGGATTTCTATTGGAATTCTATTGAAAAATTCTATTTGTGTTTTTGCGCTGATTCTACTGGATATTTAACAAGAAAAAGGCAATAGATTTCGAATTTCTGTTTGTTTTTTCTCTTAGATTTTCTCTATTAGAATTATTGGACACAAATTTTTCAAGTTTTTTCCAAAATTGATGCCCAAGCATTCTTATAGAAAAAATCTCAAGAGAAAAATTCAAACAGAAATTCGAAATCTATTGACTTTTTCTTATCAAATATCCAATAGAATCAGCGCAAAAAAGAAATAGAATTTTTCAATAGAATTCTAATGTTGTGGAGAAGGTTTTGAACAAAATTTTCAATTATTCATATTTAAAAAAAATAATAATAAAAAATATTGGGCCTAATCCAAATGTTTTTTCTTATCATTTTCGTCATTTGGATATTGAAATTTCACCGTTAAACTCAGCTTATGACCGCAGAGGCCAATAACTCTATGAATAATAGAATTCCAATAGAAATCCTATAGAAGCCCCATAGAATTCCTATAGAATTCGAATAGAATTTTCTAGCGAATTCGCTAGATTTTCCATTGAATTTTTTTATACGCGTTTTTTCGTCCAAATAATTAATCATTCAATCACAACAACTTCATGAAAAGTAAAAGCGTTTGAAGATTGAGATAGGGGAGGGTGTGCCTGTACCGCCCACCTAAGGGCAAATGCCAGTTTTAATTTTATATTTCAACTTGAGTATAAAAAACGTATTTGTNCTAATTCTCCTTAGAATCCACAAAATTGATTGAAAATAAAAGAGAGAGCCTATTGAGCGGTACTACCCGCCGTCGGGTAATACCGCTCGGCACGATTCCAATGCCGCTCATAGGGTTTTGCGTGTATCGCTCGCGCCGCAACCTAACCTGTACTCGAATGCTGTCGAGCAACTACGTGGCCGATCCTATGAGCGGTATTACCGGCTCCGCTCGGCGTCAACAAAATTGTTGATAATTATTGACATGAGTGGAGTTTTGAGTTCGAATTGATCTCAAATTACGCGTGAAAGTACCACGAATCGAATAAGCACAGTTTAATATGAGAATTCAGCGTTTGAAACTATCAAAAACCTTAATTAAAAGTCCACAAATTTTGCACTGTAAAGACCTCAAAACTTCGTTACGTGTTTTTTCATATTTAAAGTGGTAAATAAAGTGAAAATTTTCCACAATCACATCCTATCATCAAATTCTTCATGATCAGGAACAGAAAGAAATTTTTAAGTTAATGGTTGTGGAGAAAATTGGGTGAGCGTTATTACCCGCTGAGCGGTACAGGCACACCCTCCCCTAGAGAGTTGGAATTTTAGAAGGATTTTTTAAAATCTATTTCGTGTCTTTTGAGGAAAAAAGCGCCCTAATAACTATATTCATTTATAAAAAGATATGGTATACTTCACTTGTATTTGTGGGAATTTTACAAAAAATTTTGGTAATATCATAATTCACTAGCGAAGCGGTAAACCGGGTTAAGTCGATTTTGACTTTCAGCCAGTTTTTCATGAATATTTCGGAATCGAAGCGAGATAGCAAAATTTTTCTCATGAACTTTTTTACAACCCTCAATTGGCTCTACGAAAAAGGTAATAGCAAAAATTTTCCTATCTCTTTTAAATTCCGAGATATTCGTCAAAAACTGGCCAATCGTCAAAATCGACTTGACCCGGTTTACCGCTTCGCTACTGAATTTTTGTGAATTTTAGGGGAATTAGAAAAAAAAACGATTCGAAAATGTATTTACATTACGCTGTGCGAAAGAGTAACTTTTTAGGCACGCGAAGCGTGCCTAAACCTTCCTTTTCCACACATTGTGATGAAAAATATCGTTCGATAGTCATGGGAAAAGTGTTTTTTGGCTCGTGGAATTATATCACTCGCCTTCGGCTCGTGCTATAAACCTCCCACGAGCCAAAAAACTCTTTTCCGCACTCGTAACGAAATATACTATTTTATGCGCTTGCATCGATCATTCACGAAGAAAACAAACACGAGAGGTAAAATTTACGACTCATCATCAACTCCTTAACGAAAACATTTATCCTCCGTATTTCCCTCTCAATGGCATCCTCCCGTCTCATTCAACATTCCGACGAAATTTCATCAGCATCTGTGAAGTCAGGATTGAAGAATGTAGAGTGCGTATAACATACAAAAACTGAGCCTAATTGCTTTCGGTGAAATTAACTGCTCGGCTGATGCAAAGGGAAACAACGATTGCAGGATACTGAATCGTTCACACTTAGAAAAAAAAAACGAGGGAAGGGGAAAAACATTGACACTGCTGGAGTGGCCGTCCCAGCTTCTTCGTAATTTTTAAGCGGCGTGAATTGAGCGTTGGCTATCAAGATTGATTGGAGAAGAGGGAAAATAAAACGGACAAATGCAGGTTGATGGAGAGATGGTAGATGGGTGAGCGATTGGTGGGGATTCTGTCATTCTATAAAACAGCGTGACAACCTCAACCGCAATACCAGTGCAGAGAATTTGTTGTAATCGGTGCACCATGGGATTGTGTTGTTGAAAAATTCATCAATCAAACTCATTCATTTTTCAAACAAAAATAATATCACTTGTTTTTATTCATCGATAATATTGAACTGTTGGGAGAAACAAGTTGCTGTGATTGTTATATTTTTGTATTATAAAAATGCCGCCAACGGAAATGATCGATGTGAGCTCAATTTAATTCTTTAATATTCTTTTGACGAATAAAAGAGTAATGTTTGAACTTGGGAAACGTTTTGAAATATTAAATTGAAATGCTTCTGAATGTGGATGATTGACTCATTAATTTGTTAATCCATTAATTCATTAATTAATCAGTTAATAAAAACGTGAGGAAAAAACTCAAAGTGGGAAAGGGAAATTTATTGGCTCAAAAAGGTCGTCAAAAGTTTTTCTTCAAACTTGACTAAAATGAAATGAATTAATTTTTTTAAATTAATTAAACTTGATAGTTTTTGAGATCTTTGAAAAAAATTCAAACATACACTTTCGATTCATTCCCTATTGATTATTAAATTATTATTGATTAGTATATGTTTGTGTTATAAAAATGTCACCAACGGAGATGATCGATGTGAGCTCCATTGAATTCTTTAAAATTCTTTTGACGAATAAAAGAGTAATTTCAGAACTTCGGAAACATTTTGAAATATTAAATTGAAATGCCTCTGAATGTCGATGATTGACTCATTAATTTGTTAATCCATTAATTCATTAATTAATCAGTTAATAAAAACGTGAGGAAAAAACTCAAAGTGGGAAAGGGAAATTTATTGGCTCAAAAAGGTCGTCAAAAGTTTTTCTTCAAACTTGACTAAAATGAAATGAATTAATTTTTTTAAATTAATTAAACTTGATAGTTTTTGAGATCTTTGAAAAAAATTCAAACATACACTTTCGATTCATTCCCTATTGATTATTAAATTATTATTGATTAGTATATGTTTGTGTTATAAAAATGTCACCAACGGAGATGATCGATGTGAGCTCCATTGAATTCTTTAAAATTCTTTTGACGAATAAAAGAGTAATTTCAGAACTTCGGAAACATTTTGAAATATTAAATTGAAATGCCTCTGAATGTCGATGATTGACTCATTAATTTGTTAATCCATTAATTCATTAATTAATCAGTTAATAAAAACGTGAGGAAAAAACTCAAAGTGGGAAAGGGAAATTTATTGGCTCAAAAAAGTCGTCAAAAGCCTTTCTTCAAACTTGATTAAAATGAAATGAATTAATTTTTTTAAATTAATTAAACTTGATAGTTTTCGAGATCTTTCAATAAAATTCAAACACAAACTTTCGATTCATTCCCTATTGATTATTAAGTTATTTAAATAAACAGTGGTGTGCGGGGATAATTTAATCAGAAATTTTGTATAAAAAAATTTGTAGCCTTTGCGCACGGTTTGCCCAACATTCGTTTCTAAAGCTCACAGCTTCAGAGATATTTCCGAAACAGTCGGTATTGAATTATCAATGAATCACTCATTATCCCAATTCTATAAATGCTTAACGACCTCCGGCTAGACTCCGTATGAATTATTCAATCCATCAAAGTCACCCATCCCGTAGTATTAACGTAGTATAAACAGGATCGAGACGGAAATCGATCGTTTTTAACGGCAAAGAATATTAAATTAACAAATGTTTCACCTACGAATATTTCCAGTTATTTCCGTTATTCAATGCAATTTCGCAATTTCGTAAATTCACTAATTGGAAAAAGGATAGTCCTCCTGACATTCCAACATGTATGTAACAGAGTAAAACGTCCAGGTTGTCCAAAGCGCTTTATAAAAAAAATTAGCTTTGAATGATATCCATTGGAATTGAACAATAAATTCCAATTCACGAAATTCCCATTGAATATTTCAATGAAAATAAATAAAACTATTTAATTTGTCTTCCTTTGACTATTTCCGTCCACTTAAAATTTTCATTCTCTCCTTGATAAAATAATAAAACCGGAAAATGGAAAAAATTTTGTCGCTCACAGCCAAAGCTGATGGAAGGAGGTAATTACATAAAGGAAGGACGAGATTCTGCCAAGAGCACTTGCCTCATCTTCTCACCCAAGGACGAGGACAAAGTTGGATCTCTCGGAAAATTTCTCCAGCTCTTCACCGTAAGAATATTTAAAGAAAACATGGACAATTTATTTTCCGTCGCAATCTCCATTAAAAAATTCAAAACATTTTTATTGTGAATCCTTCAGGAGCATCATGTGAACCTGTTGCATATTGAATCGAGGAGTTCATTACGTCAAGCTAATGGTTATGAATTTATGGTTGAATGCGCACCCGGAGGAGATCTCGGAATTGCTGTTGAGGCATTGAGAAGTCAATGCAATTATTTCTCTATTATCTCGAGGTATTGATGAAATTATGAATTGAATTTTCGTTAATTGGGCAATTATCTGGCAAACCAGCGGTCTTGGAGTGGAATGCCAAGAGACTTTCATTTTTGTCGTACACACATGAAAAAATTCAATAGAAAAACGTAGCGCTTTCTCTGAAAAATTTTATTGATATTCTATTAGAACTCTAATTTTATAATAAGAATATCAATAAGTTTTTTCCAAAGATATCTGCACTGATAGAATGATTCATTTATCCCAAACGAGATTCGTCAACTATTAACGAATGGTAGAGTTCAGTATGACCAAATGAATGCTATAAACCTCCCAACGAATGGTTCACTTGAATGGCGAAAGTCAAGGCAAACAAGGCTCCTCAAGAATACATTCGTTAACTATTAACGAATGAACATTTGGTGGGACCGAATAGACCCTAACCTCCAACCAAAATCCATTCGTTAACAATAACTAATCCGGTCTATCAGTGTGCAGAAGAATTTATTCCCGATTCCTAATTCTCTGAGACGCTGAAAAAAAGGCTTCATTTGTTGCTGATCAATCTAATGAACCCATTTTCAGGAATCATAAGGACAATATTGGCACAGTACCATGGTTTCCTCGGCGTATCCGCGACCTTGATAAATTTGCCAATCAAATATTGACGTACGGTGCTGAACTGGATGCAGATCATCCGGGCTTTACAGATCCTGTGTACAGAGCGAGAAGAAAGTATTTCGCTGACATAGCTTATCATTACAAACAGTGAGTAATCAGAGCATCCGTTGCTCGGCAATCGCTTGTCGATTATTTTCCTTTGACTCTGTCGTATTAAGGTGCATTGGAAATGGGAAATTAAATCAAGTAAAATGCAGTGAATTCAAATTCAATTTCTGTTCTTTATTAAAAACGCACGAGGATGAAACGTATGTAGGGTGACCGNTTAAAAAAAAAATGTCAAATCGCATCGTTTGTCAGGAGGAATCGTGGCACAAAATTTTTGTCACAGACGTACGCACACACATACACACATCCACACATACAGACAGGTACCTGAAAAGGGTCAGAAGTGGTTCCAAAGGTCATGAAACGTGGAGAAATGCTTAAATTTCCACATTCGATTTTCGGAGTCATTACAATAACTTCCTCCCTTCGGGTCGGGAAGTTAAAAATTACCTAAATGGGGATATGATGGCCTCCATACCTTCAAGAATGTTTTAATTAGCAGAAAAAAATAGTTTAAGGCCCGGTGTACTATCTTTCGAACGTTATCTCGATGTTTTTGTTCATCTTTCGTCATCTGAAATTGTTAATTGAATTCTGCATCATGCAGAAGTTTTAAAAAATTATGAATGAATAATAAAAACAAAGTAGAAGAAATTCTTAATTTTTTCAAAGAGCATTTTTAATTTATATTCAGAATAAGTTGAATAACAAGAAATTGAAAAATGTATCTGATTTACGGTGACAAATGGCGGCCTGTCATCCAATATTATGCAGGGGGAAGACTGATTTCGTAAATCTTTTCCCACACTGCACAGAGACATTTATTACGAAAAAGGCTCTTTGAAAAAAATGGTAATATTTTGGAGAATTTTTTAAATACACTTTTATCACATAAAAATGGCAGATGACTACATACCACTGTTTTGAAAATTGAGATACCTAGCTGTCACTTCCCATGAGGAGTTAGTGTTTTGTTATCCACCATGGAAAATGACAGCTAATAGATAATTTACCACAGCGAATCAGATATTTGTAATTTCCACTTTTTTCAACTCATTCTGAATCTCAATTAAAAACGCTCTTTGAAAAAGTTCAGAATTTTTTCTATTTTTTTGTAATCATTCTATCATCATTTTTGGGAATTTCTACATGATGTACCACTCAACTGACAATTTTGGATTACGAAAGATAAAAAAAAAGCCAGATAACATAAAACAAAGAATAATCAAATTGAGAAATAGTTCAATGTAGCCGAAACCCCCAATTCCTGGACGACTGGGTCATATTTTTTATTTATTTTAATAAATCAAATAATTGATCACATGGTTATACACAAGTGATATCATGGAGGGGTGAAATAGTCAATACAATTTTCATTTTATTTGTGGAATATTCAATGCAAGTTGAAATCGTCCAGAAACTAACCCCGGTCCAGAAATTGACTTGTTTACCCTACTGTACGAATTGCTGCAGCAGACTAAAAACCAATCACAAAGACCAAAAGAAGATCGTCACCTAAAGACAAAGAACCCTCAGTTCGTTTTCCCCATGAAATCATTGTTTATGTGTATATTTTGTTCTCTGGAACTCTCTCCGTCGATTCGTTTTTGAAAGTCATAATCTCATTAAATCGTTTCTCTGAAATTGAGCTGGTTAATCCAACGAGATGTTTCGTAGAAATTGATGATTTCTTTACACATTCTTTGATTTTTTCAAAACCCGTATGCAAAATTCCAGTGAGCCTAGGAGAATGGGTGAAACACAACAATTAAAAAAAAAAAGATTAGTATTATTATTTTCCATGGGTGCCAGAATAGTAAAACCTTATCGTTTCTCACTTTCATTCATTTTGATCTCAATAATAATGCAGGAAAAATGAATGGCTTCAATAAAGTTGTTCACGATGATAATTTAATTGCTGAATAATTTATTCTGACTCGTCATGATCCTCTTCATCTTCTTCTTCATTTCTGTTTTGCTTTTTGCGTGCTTTTTTATTTTTATGGATGTATTATGTATTATCAATATACATATAAACTATTCTATACGTTTTTTTTTACAGCACAGAACTTTATTACATTTTTATATTGCTAAAAAAACAGTATAAACATATATTTATAGTATATATTATATAATATCTACACATACTGATGGATATATATATTTTTTTGCAGAACTATATATTTTTTTATTACACGGAGAAAAATATTCAATAAAAATTATGTATCTTTTCCGTAATTCCGGAGCGAAATACGGTTGTAGGAAATTTTACGGAACTGTCACGGAATTTTTCCGGAGTGTTGCGTAATTTTTATCTGAATCTCTTGTGAAAAATTACGATACCGTCACTTAAATTTTCTGGGTCGATTCCGTAATCGGTGAGTGAAGTGAGAGTTCCGTAATTTTTACTGAACATTTCTCTCCGTGTACAGTATGAAATGAATTTCTCTTTTTTTACAATTACGGGAAACAAAAGATTACAGTACATAAAAAATATACATAAACATCATATTACATTACTTGATAACCGGAATAGCGGCTTCAAAAATCGTGACACTAGATTTTTTAAAGGTGGATTTAAAGGTGGATGACCCACTAATTTTTTTTCCAATAGTTCATTATTTTTTTGGGAGATACGAAAATTTTTCTGATTGAGAGTGAGGTAGCCTCGGCATTACAGCTCGAGATCTAGTCTAGAAAGAATACGAAAATATTTCCAATGATACAGAATACTCAGATATTTCTCCCATGAGTTAAAAAAATTTTTTTTTCGTCATTTTGACTTTTCACACAAAACATCTCAATGAAAGAATGAATGTGACGAAATATCATTAATTATATGATTATTGTTGTTTTCGTAGTTGGGAAAGTTTTTTATTGTTCTTTTCCAGTGGTCAACCTATCCCTCGGGTAGATTACACCAAAGAGGAGGTAGCAACGTGGGGTGTTATCTTCAGAAAGCTCACGGAATTGTACCCAAAGTATGCTTGTCGCGAGCATAATCATGTGTTTCCATTGCTCATTGAAAATTGCGGGTACAGGGAGGATAATATTCCACAGCTTGAGGATATCTCCAACTTTTTAAAAGGTATTCATCTGAAATCGTGAAGAATCTTCATCAATGTCTTCGAAAACTATCGGTGCAGGAGAATATTGAAAAAGACTTGCCAATTTTAACCCGAAACGGGTGATTTTTCTCAAAACATTGAGAATTCTTCACGTAATTTATAAAATTCGCTTCTGAATTTTTAATCATTATTATGTCCGAGCAAATCTTCATAATTAATAGTGTTTAACCAATAGTTAATATTGGATAAAATGAAAATGATGTAAATGATTATTGAATCAAATTCATAACAAATTTTTTAGTTCTTCAACTGGACGCAAATTTTCAAGAATAATAATTTCAATATCTGATAGGGGAGGATAGAGCAAAACGGACCGTTGATAGAAAATTGATAATTTGTGTTTTTACTTCCGAATGGAAGCAGAAACAAAAATTCAAAGTCATTTGTGGTTTGAGGTGATTAGCAAATCCTATCAAATTGCGGTTCAACGACACTTTTTGTCTATAAAACTCCTGTGGCGGTTACAATCCAAGAAACTCACTTTTAATTCAACACATTCAGTGTTCCTGATTTGGAGGAAAGAAAAAAAAACAAAAATTACCAATTTTCTGTCAGTGTTTTGTTTTGCGCTACCCTCCCCTAAAAAATATGTGAAGATTTTTGTGTCTGCAAAAAAAGTTATGCTAAATTTTCTAAAACCCCTTGAACCCTCCACTTGGTTTGAGCTTCGTTCTTTCAGTTGATCTAATTATTCAATCATTATGTGTAGACTGCACAGGATTTACTCTACGTCCAGTAGCTGGTTTGTTATCGTCTCGAGATTTCTTAGCTGGTCTTGCCTTCAGGGTATTCCACAGTACTCAGTACATAAGACACAGCAGTAAACCACTGTACACGCCTGAGCCTGATGTCTGTCATGAAGTTCTCGGTCACGTACCAATGTTAGCCGATCCAGCGTTTGCTCAATTTTCTCAAGTTATTGGATTGGCCTCGCTCGGTGCACCCGACGAGTACATCGAAAAACTTGCCACCGTAAGTTTATTTGTACAGATACAATGAAAACGTCTGCTATGTTTAGCTTTTATATGAGAAATTTGATAAAGTCTTTGATTCGATAAACACGAGGGCGAACAGTGGATTACATTTGAAATTGATTAACTTGGCTATTTTGTGACGGAGGAAAATTATTATCGTGATATTTTTACGCGTTATTCAGTGCTTTTGGTTCACCGTCGAGTACGGAATTTGCCGGCAACAGGGTGAATTAAAAGTATACGGTGCAGGTCTTCTCTCATCGTTCGGTGAACTGGAATATGCCCTCAGTGGGAAACCCGAGCTGCGGCCTTTCGATCCGCCTAAAACTGCATTGCAGAAATATCCGATAACAGAGTATCAGCCCATGTACTTTGTCGCCGAGGACTTTGAGGACGGCAAAGAAAAGATGCTGTAAGTATCTGAAGAATTTAATAAATAACGAGCAAGCTCTTCCATATGGCTTTGTAATGAAAATGTTATGGAAAATTTCTTTCTCATTTAATCCTATCATTCTTCTTTGCATATCTAGGAAATTCGCACAGACTATACCGAGAAAATTCGGCGTGAGGTACGACCCGTACACGCAGAGTATCAGCATCATCGATAGTAAATATCAGATCGAAGAGTTGGTGACTAATGTCAATCAAGAGATGGAAATTCTGATGGATGCGCTGAAAAAATTGAAAAATTGAGACACATCTGCGGAGTTTCGATACTTTTGTTTCCATAATGAATGGATTTTTATGGATTCGTACATCAAGTCTTCTAAGACTTTCCTTTGTGATTTTGTTGAGCTTCTGTAAACTAAGGTAGCTGAGTTAGAACCCATTACTTCTATTGATGAATTTACAATAGTCGGTCCATGGAAAGACGATTGATACAAAGCATCCTTCCTTGTGCAGGAGGTCTACTGTCTTCATGCTTTTTTATGTTAATTGTAAGTGTGAAGGTCTCATGTACATATGTGTGAATATAAAATTTCCAAAAAATATGGGTTACATCTTCTTGTTAATAAGCAAATTCTGAATGACTCGCATACACTGAAACAGCTTTACACAATGGGCACTAATTATTTCAATTGTTAAGTGCTCCATTAGCGCGTCATTTAAACCTGACGTATGATATACCCGAGGAAGGAATTGAACTCCCAATTACATGAACTTATTTTGAGATCCGAAGATTAACGATTGCACATTGTAGCAAAGGGACGAGGGCGATAAGAATAATTATTGGCTGTTATATGTTAATTATTAATATGATTAGAGTAAATTTATTTTTACTCTCTAAAGACTTTGTAATTGACGTCCTATCAATTACAAAGTCTATACAGGAAGGGTTTTTTCCAGAATAGGCATACGTCATAGCCGCTATATAAAGTTAAGACGCGTTTCAATTTCTTACATGTAAACTCCTCATACATTTCGCACGTTATCAGTGAATTTTGAAAATACAGTCGATCCTGTCATAAGTTATACTCCAATAAGTTATAACCTGTGATGAGTTATACTAAATCACCTCAAATAAGTTATATTGCAACTCCCACCACGAGCCCATCTCAAGCATGCCCCGAAATGATTGAAGGTAGTTTCGCAAGCTCCACTATAGGTGAGTATTCCTGTATATGGGGTATTCCATGTGAACTCACCCAGGTCAAAACCCTCACCATCGCCAATCATATTGCCGATTTTCCTCTGGTTGTATATGGAAAAATATGACTTCTCAAATTTTTTCAGATTTTTTGAGGCATCTTGTGAACAGCCATCTTTTTTTGCAAGTTTTATCTTCAAATGCCTGTAACTTCCGTAAAAATCAACCGATTTGAGTTTTTTTTTACAAACTGTGCATGAGCCTTTACAGTAATGGAAATAAGCACTTGGCCAAGTCGTAAAGGATTAGAAAAAGAAAAATACCACGATCCAATTGTTCTTGAAACATAATTTTCCACTTTCATATTGAAAAATATACTCTGAAAATGTTCTTGGAAACTCGTGGTCAGAAGAATGACTCGAAAAGGAAAGAGTGAAAAGACGCAAGAATTGTTTTTTAGAATGTTCACTGATTCTTCAGGGTCAGTTTTTGGTTCAGCTATCTACGGTAGACCTCGGTTGAAGGTAAATTAAGGCCTGGGTGTACTATCTTTCGAATGTTATCTCGATGTTTTTTTCATCTTCCGTCATCTGAAAATGTCAATTAAGTCCTGGACCATGTAGAAGTTTTGAAAAATTATGAATGAATGATAAAAAAAAAAGTAAAAAAATTCTTAATTTTTTCAAAGAGCATTTTTAATTTATATTCAGAGTAAGTTGAATAACAAGAAATTGAAAAATGTATCTGATTTACGGTGACAAATGGCGGCCTGTCACCCAATATCATGCAGGGGAAGACTGATTTCGTAAATCTTTTCCCACACTGCACAGAGATATTTATTACGGAAAAGACTCTTTGAAAAAAGTTGTAATATTTTGAAGAATTTTTTAATCACCCTTTTATCACATAAAAATGGCAGATGGCTACGTACCACTGTTTTGAAAATTGAAATACCTAGCTGTCACTTCCCATGAGGAGTTAGTATTTTGTTATTCACCATGGAAAATGACAGCTAGTAGATCATTTGTCACAGCGAATCAGATATTTGTAATTTCCACTTTTTTCAACTCATTCTGAATCTCAATTAAAAACGCTCTTCGAAAAAGTTCAGAATTTTTTCTATTTTTTTGTAATCATTCTATCATTATTTTTGGGAATTTCTACATGATGTACCACTCAACTGACAATTTTGTGAACTGACTGTGTGAACTAATAGGAAGGGATTTACAGAGACGAATAAAACATAGATATTATCTATTCAATGAGTTCCTAAAACAAGAAACAAAAACAATTTTATTCTTAGTATATTGTATAAACTGTAGGTTATTGGAGAAATTCGATAAAATTTTTGGAATTTGTAATAGATGGTAACACTAGCTTACGAGAGAGCATATATTACAGTTAAACATTTGTACCAAAGTTTTCTGAATGATTATTCACTCACTCTATTTGTCTATTGGTTACTTGACGCATATTACTCATTTTAACAACACATTTTTATCCTATTAATTCGGTTGATTATAATAATTGGGAATGCTTATATTTCCATAGTGGCGAGAATAATTTACCGTAAAGTACAAAATATATCATACAATAATTTTACATAAATAACAGACTTTCGGATTTTTTATTTTGATATTTATTATTTATCTACGTATTTCCATGCCATTTTGCATTGATAAATACTTGATTCTTAGTATTAATTCACTTAATTTTCATACTTTCGTTATTTTTATTTAGTGGACCTCTGTTCATATGTCGAATTCAGAATGAATACTCGAAATTTTATAGCACCTCAATAAATTATGATAAATGCTACTTTATCTTTAGCGATCAAAATATGGAGTCATAGAAAATCATCAGTAATTTTTTTATTATAGACAAAAATTGGAAAATAAGGAGTGCATCTTCAGAACACGCCCGAAAGTTTATACATACAAAAATCTAGCGAATACCAGAGACAATTTGATTGTATTTGTATTAAACTTCTATCGAAAATTTGATTAGTTGCAAGGGTCCTAAGGGACACAATGTTTACAGTAGAATCGGTCAAAAACTAATAAAAAATTCAATAGAAATCCAGTAGAATTGTCTAGCGAATTCGCTAGGTTTTTCTATAACATTTTTTCGTGCGTGTCGCTGCTAATAATTGATGCAAAGTTTTCGATTTAGTCCTCGGCACTTCTTACGTAAAAAGTTTTTTAAATCACTTGGATATTGCTCACTCGTGAGTCATTGTCCATGAATCACTGTAAATCTTCGATGCTCCCTCCATTATTCAGTTACATTGCTAAATACAACAATGATTACCAGTCCACTAACACTCAAGGCCACATACAGATGTAATGGCTTCAGGAAAAAATGGCACAATAAGATATTCGATAAATTCGATAAATTAATGGTAGAATTAAGATGTAAGTCAATTCATGAGGGTTTTGTTCTTTAAATTCCGCCTTCTTAACATCGAGTTGATCCTCAAGTGTGCGTTGCCATGGATAGCGAAGACGTAATTGCGTACACTACCTTCTCACAATGTAGTTGAAAAAATATAATTCCTCGTTATGAACAGAAAAATAAGTTTTCCCGGACGATTTAGCAGTTTCGTCTTTCCTTCACATGATTGTGACCTATGGTACACCTGGAATTCATCGTATTTGTTTCTAATCCCCAAAACTATGACGATTATTCATAACAACGGATACTTAGAACACTTTTGCTCTATGAAATTACGACGATAATCTACAGTAGTAATGGATTTTTATCAATTTTCAAATCGCAATGAACTCTTCTTTTCCACCATAAAAAAATTCCAAATTATGTTTGAAAATGATATGAATGTTTTTTCTGCATAATGGAATTATGACAATGCCACCATCTTTTCTAAATTATTGTTAACACCTTGTTTAACATGAAACGAATAACAACAATAAGTGAACAATATTAGCCGATCATTAATTTACAAACCCCAAAGACCTGAACATCGGAATGTTTCATCACAAAGTAGTACACTGTTAAAAAGTTTCTGAAATTTCCGGTGTACTTTTTGGAAATTTTTATGGAATTTAATTACCACTGAAATTTCAAGCCATTTCGTGAATGAAAATTCAGAAGTTCGTGGAAACATCAACGAGAACTGTAAAGTTCAGTTCCATTTTTCCATGAAAATAAATAGAAAACCAGAAAATTCCGGTGAATATATTCTTGGATTTTCAGGGCAGTGTCATGGAAAAGTCATGAAATTTCAAATTTCACTGAAAATTCAATGTAATTTGGCACTGAATATTAATATTAGATTGGAATTTCAAATAAATTAAGGAGTTCTCGTCCTTATGCTGCTTAACATTCTGGAATTTTACAGAAATTTCCAGTAAAACGTGAAATTTCATTATTTTCCCTCCTAAATCGCATTCAGTCTCACTGTCCTGAAAATTAGCAGTCAACTGTCCATGAAATTTCAATTTTTTTCCAACAGTGTATCATAAACCTTTCTCAGGCTCTCTGAATTACCTCTCTAAATCCTCGGTAGCCTAAACTGTCCATTACTACTCCTCTCCCCACTATGATAAATGATCTCCGGCTGCTGGCAAATCTGAAAAGGCATAATCGGTCCGGTTTCCTGAACCCCCTGCATATGCATCGCCTCATTCCTCCCCAGCTGTTGCATTCTCTGCTGCATAAACACCCCCTGACCCTGAACAGGTGCAGCAACCCCAGCCTCTACGACAGAGGTAATCGGAAAAACTGCAGTACTCCTCTCAAAACTCTCAACAGGAACAATCGACACTGGTACAGTAACAGGAATAGTGACAGCTCCACTCACTCCCTGCACCGCTTCTCCCCCAAAATTTCCTCCCTCGCCCCCCTGCCCCCGGCCACCAAGAGAATTAACCCCATAATTGACCCCGACATTCATCAGCGGTGAGAGGATGCCATACCTAGCAATGAACAACTGCTCGGAAACTCTCCTCAGCTCCTCCTGCTGATGGACAATCAGCTGCTGCAACTCCTCATGCTTCCTCTGCAATTCATCCTCATTCTGACTCAACGCAGTCGTCATAACGATGCTCGATGGATTGACCAGCATTCCAGGAACATTTAAACTCACTGTTGGTGCGGCTGGTGTTAGGAATTCTGCAGGAACAACAGACAGAACAGGTTCACCGACTCGATTGCCATAGCTCAAGCATCCTTCCACACTTCTCGATGTCGTCTGATGAGACGGATTTTGCTGCATTGATGCTGATTTGGAGTTAGCATTGGCATTGGTCTTCAGCTTGAAGGATTGCGTCGTAGACGTTGACACTCGAGAGCTGACTGAGCCAACGGATATCGATGTGTCTGAGTCAGTGCCGTAGACGCTCCTCATTGATCTTGATGTCTTCGGAGATTTCGGAGACCAGGTGGAACGAGGGGTTTCACACGGCGTTTGTTGATGCTCTGTAACTAATGGGGGGTCAATATTTTGCGACGTATCTTTGCTCTTCTTCTGCTGTTTTATTACTTCCGATGAGTTGACAACGGTGTGCGTACAGACAATGAACTCGGGTTTGGAGTTCCACTGGTTGTAGTCGATGTAGAAACGAGTCTGGAGCCAGATCCACTGTTGTCCTTTGGTGAGGAAACGGTAGAAGCAGGAGGTACCTTCTCCCTTTCTCATGAGGGACTTGTGGGAGGTGACAACTTTGTCCAGGTCGTCCACGTGGTAGTAGTCGTAGCCCGAGGTGCCTAGGACCTCGAAGGGAAGGTAACCGATTATTGGAGAGGCTCGTTGATCCAGGAACAGGAACTTCCACTCTAGGCTGTGTTTCGACACGAATTCTGATTTATTCGAGTCGATCAGAGATACCTCGCGGATCAGCTGGGGTGTGTGAACACGACCGGTCCCCACGAACACCATCTTCGGGTCGTTCGGAGAATTGGCAGAGTAACGGGAGGGGGGCATTAGGGTCTCGATGTCGGTGTCAGAGCGGAAGTAGCCGACGAAGTGGACGCGTTCGTAGGTGACATTTTGTCTCAAGTCGAGGCTTCCGCGTCTTATGTGACAGGTGAAGGACACTTGGGTGTCGGATTTTGGGGGGCTGTTGCGGGGGGTCGGGTTCAGGAGGATATTGTAAAGGAGCGACTGGTCGTCTTGGTAGGTTATCTCGTAGATGGTGGAGTTGGCAAGGTCCGTGGGGAGGTAGCCTAGGAGGGCGGTGACACTCTCCGAGGCGTAGTAGATGCGACCGTTGGAGGAGAAGATTATTATGAAGCCGTCCAGGGCCTGGGGAAATTCATCAATTGAGTTAGCTTGAATAAGGTTCTTCTACTGTCGTGCCGTACACGCATTCTGAAGTACACGGAGAGAAAAATACGAGAAAAATTATCGTGCTCGCACAGTAAAATGGGTTCGGATGGTCTTTCCAGGCGAAATGTAGGGTAAGCTACCCAGTAGATGGACACTGCCCTATAGATGGACGAGCTACTTTTGGATAGGAAATTACGCAAAAAAATACTGAAATGTGAATTGTTGCTTTGAATTTTCACTAACTGTTGTGATTCTTAACCCCTGAGTGACGATTTTTTTTTGGATCAATTTATTTTTTCAATTACTAAAAAACAAACGTCCATCTACTGGGCGGTTTTCTTAGGCGTTCATCTACTGGGCAGTTTACCCTACCGTGAAGAGTAGGAAAAAGAACTGTTGCACCAGTCATTTTTTCGCACTAACCCCTCACGTACGGCACCCATATAACGCGGCTTGTCCCAACGGCCGGGAGATTTATGACGCGTCAACTCCGTTATTCAATAAACGATAACTTGAAAACAGTCGAACGAAAAAAATTGAAATAAAATGCATTGGCTGTATTGAACTCTGAAATAAACTCCTAGAGAATTTCCTAATTTTTGACACCAATTTCAATATTTGCCGACAATTGGTTGCCGAGATCTTCGAACATGCTAAATTTATTTATAACACACAAATTATTCAACAAATCGAAATTTAACTTCTGCCATTCGATAGAAGGATCATTGAGGTATTTTCAGTAAAAATTTCAAAATTTTTGGAGGAAATGTTGCCGATAAACGCGACGATTTAATATGATTAAATCGGTTGGATGCACTGAGAGAAAAATATAATTCTTCTGACTATATTCCATCACCATCGAATTATAGTCAAAAAGTCCTCAACAATTTTTCATGGGTTACGGTAACTATGGCCGGAGAAGTAATTACTACAATGGAATGTAGTCATTGCAACTATTTTACAGTTCTGCTCACGATAGATTTGTTGTGGTTACTTTTGAACTTTGGTTAGTTTAACTGCATTTTGATTTGCAAAAATTACGCTTGTGAAGTTACTATAATGTTATGTGCCGCATACAAAAAAAATCGTGTCGTTCACCAAAATGCCTCAACTATTATCTTCTTATAAATCGAACTTCAGATTTTTCTCTCAGTGTGTAAAATTTTCATCTGCAACTTTCGTTCATAGAAAAAAATATTATAAATGCATTGAAAAAAAATATAATAAACTAGTTCACTGCAGAGACAATTCCAGTGACTTTCCAAATATCTTTTCCAAATGTCAATGTGTCTCCTAGAATTCGAGAAAATGATTTTTTACTGTTGACGGAAAGGGTCGATACTATGCATTGACCCCGGCCGATAGGACAAGTTTATGGGTCGATGAATGGTATCGACGCTGTATGTGAAGGGTTAACGCGGGGAAAAATTCGTGTGCAGCATGGTAAAATCGAAGAGAGTGAATTTTTGCGAGGAATACGAGAAAAATTATGACACTGGCTGACAAAGTTTTCCGGTGATCCACCAGAATTCTAGGACCCGATCGTATATTCGCTAGATTTCGGCACTCTTGGTCCGCCCTCCGCAACCACGAACATCATCTCAATGTTATAATGAAACGGTTAAGAAATAAAATAAATCCCCTTTATTTTCTCTCCATGAGGTGTATAACGCTGTAGAAATACATTTGCCTTTCAAACGTTTCACGTACGTTTGCCGCGCACTCTGCTCTTAATATGGGAGAGAGGAGATAGAGGAGAGGTTAAAAAAAATTAATATGATGATACGTTGAATGACAATTTTTACTCATCTTTAACAATTGCATGGAATTTATCGTGTAATAGAAAACAGATCAAGTTTTTAATTGTGCGGTACCGGAATTTTTACTATGTAGCACCGGCGTTTTTCTGTTGCTAGATAATTGAACCCACTTTACCAGGCGGCACGATAATTTTCGTCTGAATTTCTCCAGAAAAATTCTAGAATTTTTTTCTCCGTGTAATGTCTGTGTAATTACTGAGTGTATTTACCTCTAAAATAAGATGCGTGAATTCTTCATTGGAAAGAAATGAAGGCTTCCAATCCTCTTGGATCTCGTGGACTCTTGAGCGTACTGCGACTTCTTGAAAATGAGTAGAAAGATAGAATCAGTATTGAATGGACTATGGAAATTATGGAATACATTGTATGTTGATACTAACCATTGTGGTTCTTCAGGAATAGTATCGTGGATTTAAGCACTGTCGATTTGTCCATTTTTCTCGTGTTAGTACTAACCATATTTCCAAGTTCATTGACAAGCATGTTGAACTGGTCCCGTCGTCTTTTCTCACTGAGGTTTCGTGATTTCCTACTGACGCATGAAAATCAAAACTTGTATTCACATGACGTTCAATATTGAATTATTTACGGAATAGAGAAAATCCTGGACAAAGATGCCCGACATAATGAGAAAATGATCTCGGTAATGTGTGGTTTTAGCAAAAAATTGCAGAAGACCTTTCTTGCGCAAAATTTTGTTAGCTACACTGAGAGAAAAATCTGAAGTTCGATTTACTATAAGAAAATAGTTGAGGCAGTTTTGGTGAACGATACGATTTTTTTTTGTATGCGGCACATAACATTATAGTAACTTCACAAGCGTAATTTTTGCGAATCAAAATGCAGTTAAATTAACCAAAGTTCGGAAGTAACCACGACAAATCTATCGTGAGTAGAACTAAATAAAATAGTAGCAATGACTACATTCCATTGTAGTAATCACTTCTCCGGCCATAGTTACCGTAACCCATGAGAAATTGTTGAGGACTTTTTGACCATGGTGCGATGGTGATGGAATATAGTCAGAAGAATCATATTTTTCTCTCAGTGTACAGAAAGGCTTTCCTCACATTTTCTCATAATCACTCCTCATGCATTCAGAGTTGATTTAAATTGTTTCAGCTCTTTATTACTCCACAGAATCAATAGGTAATACTGACTCACCGTTTCGTGTCATCCTTGTCGTCATTTTCATCGTCCATTGTATCACTGGAACATTAAAATGGATGGACATCTTAACTATGAATTCTGTAGCCAAGCAGCAAAAGCTATAGCTTTTATAGAACCTGTCATTCAAATTGTCTTTGCAAATATCTTGGACATTTCTCTGAAATCTAGGCATTTTGGTTGGGAAATCCAGTACTCTGGGTTCTTAAAATAAAAACCTCAAGGTTTTTAAACTGTCGTCCGTGTCTCCTCAAATTATCACCATTAATTGTAGTGTGATATCACAATTTAGGCAATTGATAATCAAAATTTCAATTCACTGAACATATAAAAAATCTCACGGAACTTCTTCAAGTATACGATCTAGATCACTCTTGATTTTTTTCAGATTTTCCCTAGATCTGTCACATTCATCATTATGTTATATTTATATTTATACTGGTGAGGTGCGGCGCTTGTTAAAAATCATAAAAATTGCTATTCACGGAGAGAAATATTCAATAAAAATTGCGTATATTTTCAGTAATTCCGGAGCGCAATGTGGTTGTAGGAAATTTTACGGAACTGTCATGGAATTTTTCCAGAGCATTCCGTATACGGAGAGAATATAAAATTAAAAATTACAATGCGAACATGGTAATCGAGGACCATAACGAAACAACTTCAAAATTTGATTTATCTTAACCGAATTGTTACTCGAGACAAATTAAATTTTACTTTTATTCTACCACTTTCTACTATACCGACTCGCAATTTTTACTATATGTTCAACACTAAATTTTAAGTGTGGCAAGTGTGGTCCTCGATTACTATGTTCACATAGTAAAAAATAATATTATATTTTTTCCGTGTAATTTTTACCTGAATCTCCTGGAAAAATTACGATACCGTCACTTAATTTTTCTGAGTCAATTCCGTAATCGGTGAGCGAATTGTGAGTTCCGTCATTTTTACTGAACATTTCTCTCCCTGTTGGCTAATCTATGAAATATCAATCTTTTTCCGACAGTGTGCTTGCTGCCATGAGCTAAAATTCCAGATTTTCATTGATGACTTCCTCCATATTATTGTCTATCAAGTATTATCAGTTTCTAAAAATTTTCAAGGCAAAACTGAAGAACTAAAAAATCCGACAAATACACAAGTAAGAAAAAATTTCATAGAAAAACCTAGCTATTTCGCTACACAATTCTATTGGATTTCAATTGCACTTTCCATCAGTTTTCGGCCGATTCTATTAAAATGTTCAATAAAAATATTCTATAGAAAAAGTCAATCAAATTCGATATTTCTATCCACCGTATTCTATTGAGATATTTTCTGCACAATTTCCTCGTCTGGAATTTTCTGCATTTTTTTGTTTGATTTCCTGAATGAAAAGAAAAGAAAGAAGAATGAAAAAAACTTGAAAAATTGAAGCCGCGGGAATTCTATACAAAATATCTCAATAGAGTATGTTGCATAAAAAAATAAAATTCCATTGACTTTATCTACAAAATATTTTCCATCGACCATTTCGATAGAATCTTCCAGAAACTAATAGAAAATTCAGTAGAAATCCAATCGAATTGTCTAGCGAATTCACTACGTTTTTCATTAAATATTTTGTGTGTGCAATGCAATATCTAGTTCCTCTGCTCCCCCAAAATTGACCCCAAATACCTAATAATTCGTAACTGCGGGTGTACGCAGTGGAGCGGCTGCTTTTGATGTAATGCGCGGTCTGAGAAAGCGCTACGTAACCCACACTGTACCCGTGCACAAATAGACGAAAATAAATTAACCCGCGTTATGCCGCAGGCAAAAAAGTACACAAAGCACTCTACGATAGGCTAGAAACCAAAACAAACAAAGCGATAATGATTTCCAACTCACTCTGAATACCGTGTGGAGCTCATGCTTGTGTAGCTGGCCATAATCCAAGGGGATCCACTTTCTCAATCGAAATGAATAGTCCCTGCGTAATTAATGAATCAGTGAAGGTGATCATCATAATGGCGGCTAGGTCCCAAGACCGACTCCCTGGCTATTGACAATTGACAACGACAGCATGATTTCACCTTTTAATATTCACTCAGCAAAAGAATACGTCACTCAAGGACTATCATCACATGTCACTTTATTCGGCGCTATTTGACCCTCGTATCACGCATTATTTCGACTGATCAAACAACAGCTGAACGCGACTGCTGCAACTAAGTGAAGCGCATTTCATTGGAATAGATAGTGGAACTATTAACATTAGGCTGTGACACTTGTAGCACTACGGTCAGACAGAGTGCAAGAGGGTAAACCATCGAATTCGTTCGCGAGAATCTAGCGAATGCTGTCGCGACTAGAACCAGAACTTACTGGACCAATTGATAACGTTGATTTTGCGCAAGTCCCTAGAAGTTTACTAGTTCGTTTGATAATACGGTAGTTCCGTTAGGGTACGGTGATACGTTCGCGGAATACAGGTATGATTTTCTATCTTGTAAGTATGTGGATTTGTGTGTCGTCTATGCACCGGTGTTTGCGCCTGCCCGCGAGAAAGGCTAGGATTGCAGTTGCGCAGAAGCGAGACTGGAAGGTGGACGAGGGTTTTGCTGGCGCAGTTCGAAATTCCCGCGTTTTTGCGCGGTTCGAGAACTTTGGTGAACGCGGTGAACAGGGGATGATCACTGAATCGCGGTAACAGTAAGTTTTATTTCTAACAAAATGCGCACAATCTGTCCCGGGGGCGGGGAAAAGTAATGAAAAAATTCCGTCTCCGTTATTTCTCCTGAATTACAGAGATTCTTCACAGAAGACAGAGGTTTACATAGCGTTCTACATCTTGTGGCGTCACTGGATATTGCTGGATAGGATTTTGGAGTAGGTAGGAGGGGAAGCAGGATAATTCTCAATATTAGTTGACAAGACAAAATACCTGAATAAATTCGAAAGTCCAGACTGCGATTTGAACCCGGGACCTTCCGATTATGTATCAGGTTCTCTTCCAACTTAAGGTACGGTCACGAGGGTCACATAACAAAAAGGAGTCGCGAGGGTTAGAAGGGTGACACTGCCTTGGTTGAATGCGTTGTTGACTGGAAATTCTTTCGTTGCAAATTTTGTTGACTGAATTTTTGCGATTATTGTCGCATTTTTTGTTTTACAACATTTCTCTCCGTGTTGGTTAATCTATGAAATATCAATCTCTTTCCGACAGCGTCACAAAAAAAGTGACAAAAAAAACTATCATTATATTTTACTGAAAAGAATTATTATAATTTCAAATAATTGATTTTCCAGTTTTTATAATTATTACATATTATTATTATCAGTATTATTCTTATTATTATGTATCAGGTGCTCTTCCAACTTAAGGTACGGTCACAAGGGTCACATAAAAAAAAGGAGTGGCTAGGGTCGCGAGGGTTACAAGAGTGACACTGCCTTGGTTGAATGCGTTTTTGACTGAAAATTCTTTTGTTGCAGATTTTGTTGACTGAATTTTTGCGATTGTTGTTGCAATTTTTTCAGAAAAAAAATTCAATCAAAAAATCTTCAACAAAAACATTTCCATTAAAACTGAGTTCTGTTGTTTTGTTGTTTGTTGTTGTAAATATAATCATTGAATTCAAGTATGGGAATGTGAGTGCATGAATTGGTATGTCAAGTACCTATACGAAGCTTTATGGAAATGTTCGTATCTTGAAAAATAAACATTGAAATGCTTATATCCCAAAAACTAATTGAGAGTGAATTTTTCCTTTATTTTTTCCTTATTCCTGGGGAAAAATGGAACGGAAAATATATGTCAAATAGCGGCACCAAAGGAGTCGTAATCTTCTCCATTTTTCAGTCGTTAAATTGTGTCTGCATGAGGCGAGCTTATAGTATTTCAAGTCAGAAATTGAGATTCCTGCAAATTAGGATGAGCGATTTAATGGTAACTTATTATCGGTAACATGAATGATCATCACCCCGACAATTCATCACACGACGATTCAACACAGTGCTTCCAGTTCCCAATGTTCCCAATGGGTCTCCACCTTTCTTACCAAGTTGAAACCAGGTTGCCAGTTTGTGAATTTAAACTCTTTGGTGCAACACAATATAATAATATGGTTGACCAGGTAGATGACCGGGACCTCCCTTTTTCTCCACCTTCCTTCAAAAGGCAATTAATTTTAACGAAATTAATTTAGATGTAAGTGTTTCTATAAATTCGCGAGCATGGTAAGGCAATTAAATTTCACGCCTTACCAGCTCTTGGCGTTACCCACGACCCACGACGAGGACGCGGCTGACATCGGATCCCAAAAAGGACCACGATATAATTTCTGTCTTGACTTTGTCTTATGATGAACTATTGTACTGAGTTGTTTTTGTACGCGGTTATTTAGTCCTGTCACCGTGTCTGCATGAGGCGAGTTTATAGTATTTCAAGTCAGAAATTGAGATTCCTGTAAATTGGGATGGGCGATGTAATGGTGAGTTATTATCAACGATTGTTAGCATCGATTCATTAATTAATCAGAGTATTCATTGATTACTTGATCAATTAAAGAAAATGTAAATGAGCACCTCCAAAATTCGGACTTTGTTCCTCAGATTTTTTATCGCTTGAAAATTGCTATTTGACAACGCGTTGAATTTCAAAATAATGTTCTCAATGAATTCGATATTGGCAACCTCGACTCAATGACCAAATGCTGTTGTCTAACGGTTCAAGATGACGAGTCAACAAATTTTATTATTTATTTATCATTTTATTTAAGAATTCTGCCAGACAATTGTTCTCTCAAATAAATTACTGTCTTGGAATCATTTTTAATTATTCTTAGACTCTCTTGCTGGCAGTCGCCACGTCAAGCATTAGCAATCTCTCACTTTTCGTAATATTTTGTTCCAAAGGAGGCAGATCCTTTCAGCTTATGATTTTTCAATTTATTACTGAGAAGAGAATAATTAGAACCGGCTGCTCTCGGCTGTAGACCCAACCCTCGTTTTAAGTACTCAGAATTGAGCAGATGAAATCCACTCTTGGACCTCAGACTCTCGTGCCCCACCGATTGGATGCTGACTGACGTCTTCGTGGATTTCGGACTACAATCCTGTCTGGAATCATCAGTCGAACCCTTTTTCAGCTCCAAATCCTTCGAAATCGACTCTTTCCCTCTTTTAAATTGACTCATTGGTGAAGTGAACTTATGCTCATCTGTCAATTTTTCCGTTTTCGCGATCCAGTTGGTGTCGGAGGGCTTGAGACCGTCGCCAGGAGCATCTAGAGATCTTGGTCCAGTCAGCCAATCGAATTCAGAGGAGAAGAGGTCCTTGGTTTTCTTGAAATCACTCAAACTCGTCTTAACTGAATTTTCCAAAAGAGTTTCCTTGGTTCTCAGTGATGATAATGATGATGTACTTGGTGATGACCCCTTCCTACGATTCCAGACCTTTGACTGAGGAATTGTCTCTCCATTTCCACCTGATTGATACGTCGATCTCGGAGCAGGACTCGCCCGGAAGTTCTTCGGCCTCTCAGGCTCTGGCTCCCGGAGTTTCGTGCTAAGGTCTGTTGACTGGAGAGTCAGGATATTGACGGACGTCTGATTCTTTTCCAATTGATCGTCATAGGGAGCTCCCAGGAACTTTATCTCCCTGGAGTTTTTATGGAGTAGTTTCGGCTTGTCTTCAGGAGCATTTTCGATGTTCAATTGCAGGTTTTGCAGGCTTAGAGGGTGTGGAGCTGTTTTTCTTGAGAGCGAGATTTTTTTAACGTCGAATTCTGATTTTGTTCGGTGGGATTGGGTGGATTTTGGAGGGTCTCCGCGGGAAGATAGGGACTTGTTCGGTCGCAGGGTCTTGGGAATGTGAGGCTTGATTTCGATGCCCTAGAATTCAGAAGGGGATCAGATTATTGACGGCTGACAGCTAAACTGAATATGATGACTAAACGAAAATAGGGGCTGCATTGATTGAATGATGCATTAAACAATGTTTTGATGCCATTGAATCGAAGTTAAATGATGATTACCATAGCTATATACACGGAGAGAAATATTCAGTAAAAATTACGGAACAATTCACGTAATCCGCAATGGGGAATCATTTTCCGGCAATTTTTATAGGAATGGAAGAGAAGAAATCTGAAACGTTCAATGAATTCTCAGGTTCATCACCGAACAAAGTACGAAATTGTCACGTAATTTTTCCCGAAGAAGTAGTCTTTCAGAAACTTGCCGACTTATTATGCCTCCAAAATAAAAAATTCTTGAACGTTCATCTTTTATGAAGCTGGTGAGTTATTTCCACGTTCTGGTCTGTAAAAATTCACAATTGTTGAGGAAAAATTACGGAACGATTTGTTGTCCCCACAGCGGTGAGTCATCAGACGGGTGATTAATTTTTACAGAACAAATCATAGAATTTACGTGGCGTTTCGTGCAATTTCAGTTCCGACTCACACTTTTTATTGAATTTTACTTCGTTTGCGGATTACGTTTCGAAACGTAATTTTTACGTTGTTTTTCGTGTAATTTGTAGTCAATTTTTCTCTCCCTGTATATTGGCTGATCTGATTTTCTATGATAATTGCTGAAAATTTTCAACTTTCCATGAGTTTCCCTGAGAGTGAGCTTTCTGACGGTTTCTTCAAGTGATTTTTCAAATTCATTTTAGTATGTATAAATAAATTGTTCTATTAAGGTTTTATCGAAGCGCTGCGACTAGATAGAACCATAAGAAAGAGAATCGGTTGTATAGACGAAAAGGATAAGAATAATGATGATGATAACATTCAACTAATTGCAAATCCGATAAAATTAGTTGACAACAAATATTATTCAATGTAATAAAATAAAATAAACAATGAATTATGTATGATAGAAGGGCATGATGTGATATTGCCGATTTTTTAGCAAAAATAACTATACAATATGCAATATAAGATCAATTCCCGATTTGTTACTACTTTGATGCAGATTTTTTTTTGCAATAAAAATTTACTGAGTTGAGCTTACTTGAGTTTCTTTCAGTAGCTGCTTCCACCCGTAAGACATGCCGTACCCCTTTTGCGCGAGATAAAAATCCTCTCCTTTAACTTTTTTGAATATCAATTCCCAGGTGCTTTCGTTATTTAAGATCTACTCACAGAACACAATACCGGGAATGTGTTGGATGGCTTGTGATGGGAATTTGGAATAAGTGATTTACCTCGTAGAATGCTCGAGACAGTAGAAATAACTGGGAAATATCTTTCGCAGGTAAGAACGTCAGAATATTTTTCAGGATTTTTCGGGGGAGTGTCAGCAAGGATTTCTTTTTCTCAATGAGGTCGTTGGTGTATTGTAACCAGGAGTTGCCTATTCCATGGATGATTTCGGGTAGATGAATTATTTGTAAACTATTATTGAATATTCACAGAAAAAACGTTTCTTGTTTCCAGTCAAATTTCTCTGAGAATCGGAATTGTGTATTTTTTCATACCAAAAACCTGTTCAATTTCACTTTGCAAAACCATATCCCTCGTCCAGTTACTGAAACTCGAGGTCCTCGTGATTGGAACCTTATGAGGTCTCTGACGAATTGGCCAGTGAAACAGCTTAACCTTCAATCAAACATCCAACTCTTATGAACAAGAGCATGAGGATAGTCATAATCATTGAATAGATAGTCAACTTAATTGATGAACCTCGTCTTCCTGGATTTTGAGACCGTAATAATCTCGACTAGGCGCAGGAGCCACTGTATATTTCTCCAAAAATGTTTGTGACATCTGGGCCAGGTTAATAATATTTAAACAAAATGAATAGATTATGGAACTATCAACATCATTTGTTTCTTCAAAAATTGAATTTCAAATCTTCGGACAGTTTACCTACACGGAGAGAAAAATTCAACAAAAATTACCAGAAAAAAACGTAAAAATTATGGGTCGAAACGTAATCCGCGAGCGAAGTAAAATTCAATAAAAAGTGTGAGTCGGAACTGAAATTGTACGAATCGCCACGTAAATTATACGATTTACCATATTCTAGACCTCTGCCACAAACGCATTCCTAATACCAAAATCCGATGCAAATACCCGCAACAAACCCTACTAGAAAGCCTGAAAGCCATTCGCATAGCAGAATACGGTAACGACGCTTGGGGAGTCACAATTCTCTCTCAATAACACTACTTCATAGCAATAGTTACAATAGCTCTCTCAATTAGCTCTCTATTTTCTTCACCATCACCACATTTTCCAAACTGTTTCACGCTCATCTCATCCAAGACAATGTCAAACATTCCATTTTTCCATCTTAAACATATAATGCTAACAACCAATTGAATACTGAATTACTTATTGTTATCTTTCTTGCGACGAATTCCGTTAAAAATAAATAATTCTACGATTTGTTCCGTAAAAATTAACCACCAGTCTGATGACTCGCCGCTGTGGGGACAACAAGTCGTTCCGCAATTTTTCCCCAACGATTGAGAAATGTTACGGAACGGAACGTAGAAATAACTCACCAGCTTCATAAAAATTGAACGTTCAAGAATTTTTGATTTTGGAAGCATAAAAAGTCGGGAAGTTTCTGTAAGGTTTTATTTCTTCGGGAAAACTTACGTGACAATTTCGTACTTTGTTTGGTGATGAACCTGAGAATTCACTGAACGTTTCAGATTTCTTCTCCTTCATTCCTATAAAAATTGCCGGAAAACGATTCCACATTACGGATTACGTGAATTATTCCGTAATTTTTACTGAATATTTCTATCCGTGTGAGAATGGCTATTTCTCCACAAAAATGATTCATTTGGTAAAAAGCTTTTTTTTTCTCAGTGTGTTTCCCGAACATATTTCGAGTTCAAGTTCGTGTGCCTCCGAATTTTTTAATTATTATTTAATTATTTAATTGTTTCCCTCGTATAGTAATAACAGCTCCACCCCCCCCCCTCTCCTCCAAAGGATTTAATTAACAAAATAAACATCAATAATGACTTCGACAATGTTTTATTATAACAGTTCGATATGAAGTAATGAAGATAAATATATAAACGTTTGAAGTAAAAATGAGAAAAAATAATAATGGCATCGTACAGGAGAAATAGTATCGCAATATTCTTATTATGAAATGTACAAGGAAAGCTAAAGAGTAGTATCACAATGCATGATTCGTTTATAAAAGTGTCAAGACAATTTTAAAAGGACGAAATATAGTCAGAGACTTGTGAATACATATCCCAAGTGTCGTCACTTGCCACGAAGAAGGACAAACAAACATTATAAATATTGCGTGAAAAAATTATCTCGCGTAAATGCGAAATGCGAGAATTGAAAATTATTTGGCAATTCCCCGATGAATCATGCATCAATCCAATCAGCAATTTTTATCTCTGATTACGCTAATCATTCACAAATGGAGTAATTCCAAGGCCTGATATGACAAATCTTAATGCTCAACTCCAAATATTAATTCGTGTGTACAAACGTCACTAGTGAATATTTGATTGCATCATTGATATGACGTTTTCAAACTTTCATCATAATTACCCCCCCCCCCAAATTTACCATTATCTCCGTTACTCTGGAAAAATCAGTGAAAATAAATACTATACACTACCGTATACGCGAAGTCTTATATAGAGAGATGGAATCAGTTTTGAATAAAAAAATATTTACGTTTCTTTTATCGTATGAAAAATTTGTAAAACAGGTCCTCGTCTCACGAGCAACAATCGTTGTACCGAAGAAACAATTCACATCAACTTGGTCGGACTATTGTCTAGTTTAAGTGGGACTGAGAAAGAGTTCCAGTGATTCAAGTGGTAGGAGAAGATGAGTCCAATGTTTTTAGGCCAGAACATTTCAATGATCACATAGAGAGAAATTTCATAGAAAAACCCAGCGAATTTGCGGGAAAATTCTTTCTGATTTCTATTGAACTTTCTATTAGTTTTTGACTGATTCTATTGACAAACTCCGAAGCTTATCTGCGAGTTCAAGTTTTTTTTTACTATTGGACCATTTTCAAGGAATATCTCGGGATCTGAAGGACATAGCAAAATTGGATTCGGAGATATTCCTCGAATAGTCAGCTCAGAGCTAAGTCAACTTGGAAATATAGAAACTTCTTGACAACTAGAAATTCCTTGGGTCCAATTTTCCAAGTGTTTCTGTTCAATTTCTTCAATGAAGAAAGAAGAAAAATAGAGCAGAAGAACTTGGAAAATTTATGTCGAGGAATTCTTGTACAAAATGTCTCAACACAAATTTCGCAGAAAGATGGAATTCGTTTTTTCTGTAAAATACTTTCTATTAGAAACTTTTAAACAGAAATTTAATACAATTTTTTATCAAATTCGTTGGGTTTATCTATCAATTTTCCTCGTGTGTGAGGGGTTTTTGGATTTCGTCTCAATAAAGCTCAGTTTTTCCGTTAATTGTCTCTGTGAAAAATTTTGGAGTCATTTTCCCCTAGGAATATTCCCTTCCCATTTCTCTTTTCTCAATGATCATCTACTTTGCGTAGAATGTTCATTGAAAATCGAGATCCAAGGACGAGAAATAATGCAGTATTCACTTGGCAATGGGTACCCCATAAGAACCTATTGCTACCTACAATCAACATCTTGATTGTTACGGAATTTATATTAATGATTGCATCATAGTCCCTCGTTTCTATCTCCTACAAATCTTAAACCTTTAAGCATTATGCGGAATTTTGCAATTTGTCCTTCAATAGATAACGTGAAAGCTGAATTTCTGTGAGCACTCAGAGAAAAAAAATCTTCCATTACAACAATTTCCATTTGTTCATCATAAATTTTTGCACCTCTGGAATTATTGCCGTACGATTACTGTAATTTCATCGATCGCATGTAATTGTATACATAGAAATGTGTGTATATATATTATATATGTAGATATATATTATATACAGATAGACGTAGAATATGTAATCATGGAAGAACAGATTTGTGTTTCCTTTTCAGAAAGCGAAATGTCCCTTGGAGAATTGAAAATCCTCCTCAGGATATGTCTTTCAAAATTTGTACCATTCGAAACATTCATCTACTGACATTCTAAAAATACGAAAAAAATATAAACTTTCTGGTTTTCAATTTCAAAATCCTCCTGGAGACATTTCAATGGGGTTAAGTGGGAAAAAAATTCATAGAAAAACCTAGAAAATTCGATAGAAAATTCTATTACAAATTTACTGAACGTTGTTTCATTGAAAATTTCCAATTTTGATCTTTCCCTGTAGCTTTTTCTGTAGGAATTCCTCGACATGAATTCTCTAAGTTTTTTTCACTGTATTTTTTCTTTCTTCTCCCAAAAATCGACCAAAAAATCTTGAAAAATTTCAACCGAGGAATTTCTGTAGAAAATATATCTCAATAGAATAAGTTGAATATAAAAATCAAATTCCATTACATTTTCCTCCACAAAATCACCAGAAATCCAATGGAATTTTCTGGAGAATTCCCGACATTTTTCTATGAAATTTATTCGTACGTGAAGTTTAACAATTAAAACTGCAATTGCCCATTCAACAATTTACAATTAACTTTCCATAAATAAAAAAAAAACACCAAGAAATTGAATAAAAACATTTCTTCAGCGTAATTTTTTCGTTCAATAGTATTTTTGTGCGTAAAATTTTAAGACCAGTATTCAACATTAAATATTGTGGATTATTCCCAGAGTTGAATGGTTCGGTACATTAAATGGCCTAGAGCCATCAAACAAGTCATTGAACTTACTATCAGTCTGATTATCGTGGTACAAACGTCTTAATCGATAGTCGGAAATGAAGATTGTGAATGTTGTATAAAAGACATCATTCGTAGTTTTAAAAACTATTTATTGCTGATTGTTCATGAGTGGTGGACTATGGAGACTGTCGAGGGGGTGATGTCGTTTCCATCGCTGCAGATGCTGGATGATGTGGTGTTGTCTTCAGCTGGTGGTGATGTTATTGTTAACTGTCTCTTCTCCATGTGATTGAGGGTTTTCTCGATGGCTCTCAGTCGTTTTTCTAGGCTTGTTGTACCCAGTATTCCAACTTGAAGTTGTGGGCCGAAAGGAAGGATTGCGAGGATCCACCAGGTCCACGAGGGACCGTCCGGCAGGCGCCACCATTCGTCCTCTGGGGTTGGAATTTTGCCGAATACTCGTTGAATCTCGGTTTGTTGGTGAGGGGATACCGTTGACCACCATTGTTGTCCTTTCAACCATACCTGATACAGAGGAATCAATCATTGTTTTTTTTTTATAAAGTGAACTACTAGAACAAGTTAATTCCTTTCATTTCACCGGAGAATGAGAAATTTTAATGAAGACTTTGTTTCATAAATAAATTCTGTGATTTCTAGGGTTCACTTCAAAATGAAGGCGAATAATAGTTTATTTGATTATTCAAGAGACACCATTGTTGCTCTCTTAACCATACCTGATCCAGAGGAATCAATGATCATCTTTTTTCACAAAGATTACTTATTTTCATTTCATTTCAAGATTAATTATTTTCATGTCATCGAATATTGAGGAATTTTCATGAAGACTTTGTTTCAAAAGCGAAATAATACGTATGAGGGGCTACATGAAGTTATTCTCTGGTAGTTTCATCACATTTCTTCCTAATATGACTTTTTTCTAAAATAAATTCTGTAATTTCCATGACTTCACTTCAAAATGAAGGCAAATAAAGATGGTTCAATGGGTTTATTTGATTATTCAAGAGACACCATTGTTGCTCTCTTAGCCATACCTGATCCAGAGGAATCAATGATCATCTTTTTTCACAACGATTACAATTCCTAGATTGGAATTTATTGTTTTATTAGTGAAGTCAACTACTACCATAAGTCAACTATTTTCATTTTTATGAAGATTTTTCATGAAGATTTTAAATTTTCCTGAAGACTTTATTTCATAAAGTGAAATGATACGTATAAGGATAACTTCCATGAAGTTATTCTCTGGTAGTTTCATCACATTTCTTCCTAATATGACTTTTTTCTAAAATAAATTCTGTGATTTCCATGACTTCACTTCAAAATGAAGGCAAATAAAGATGGTTAAATGGGTTTATTTGATTATTCAAGAGACACCATTGTTGCTCTCTTAGCCATACCTGATCCAGAGGAATCAATGATCATCTTTTTTCACGATTACAATTTCTAGATTGGAATTTATTGTTTTATTAGTGAAGTCAACTACTAGCATAAGTCAACTATTTTCATTTTCATGAAGATTTTTCATGAAGATTTTAAATTTTCCTGAAGACTTTATTTCATAAAGTGAAATGATACGTATAAGGATAACCTCCATGAAGTTATTCTCTGGTAGTTTCACATTTCTTCTTAACATGACTTTTTTCTAAAATAAATTCTGTGATTTCCATGACATCTCTCCAAAATGACGGCAAATAAAGGTGTTCCAATGAGTTTATTCGTTTATTCACCTTATAATGTAGCTCATGTAAACTCGGAAGATGCTCCTGGGATACAGACGAGTCTCGTAAGAGTTCTACCTTGGCTGTGTCGTAACCGTCTCTTTCACCTCCCGACAGAACTCTAAATCTTCTACCGCCAACAGTACTCAGTATACTACATCCGTCTTTCATCAAGACACGATCTCGAATTTCCAGGACGGTGCCATATTGAGCGTATCTAGGAAATTGAAAATAAAAAATTATTTAAAAAATGTAAGACCCTACTATTTGATGAATTAAAAAATTCCGAGTCGAAGAGAGAACGTGAAATTCTTCATCGAATGACGATTTTCACTATTTCAATTTAGAAATGATACCCAAAAGCCTTGATTACATGGGTCAACCGAGTCAGAGCTAACCATTATCACTTGAAAGCCTCTCTAAAACGAATACACATAATTGAAGATTCGAACTGTACTTGTGGATACGAAAGTCAATACATTGACCACATTCTGTGGGACTGTCCCACCTTGAGGAAAGGAAGGACAACAATCATTAGAGAACTGAAACAATTTAAAGTTCCTCTTACGAACTCAATCACCCCCTTATTGAAAACAACAGATCCAAAAATCCTTGAAATACTACACACATTTATCATAAGTAGTAGATTAAATATCTAGAATCAAAGATTGTATACTGATAGACTGATTCATTTATTCCAAACGAGATTCGTTAACTATTACCGAATGGTAGAGTTGAATATGACCAAATGAATATTCGTTAATAGTTAACGAATGGTTCATTTGAAAAGTGAAAATCGAGTCAAAGAAAGCTCCTCAAAAGTGCATTTGTTAACTATTAACGAATGAACATTTAGTGAGACCGAATGGACCCTCGTCTCCAATCAAATCCATTCGTTAACAATAGTTAATCCTTTCTATCAGTGTAAGAAGTGTAAATATTGAGATTAAGTTGATAGAACATTACTAATAGTGTAAATAAATCCTGTAGCTTTAAGCGCGTTAAATAATAAAAAAATAAAAATGAAGGGACGACTTTGCTTGAAACAAATGTATCGATATTATTTACCTTTTACTACCTGTTGCATCTTTGTTGAGACAAGCAGCAATGCCAAAGTGTCTGACACCACTCTCGACGCATCTCCTAACCATCAATCTGTATCTTGGCTCGTAAACGAATAATGGACATGCCACACAGGGGAATGCAGTGGTACATACAAAAACAGCAATCTGTTGACTTCCTAAAATTCCAAGATCTTGAACCAGCTCGAGCCGGTGGCTAGCTGCACGCGATGCATATTCCGTTGGGGCTATTATCATCAGTGCTTTCTCTACGAATTCAGTTACTGTTTTCTGGTTACTGGCAAGATACTGTCAAATTTAAAAAATCCAAATTAACAAAAATGTAACATGTTTTTTCAGGGCAAAAAATATGAAATTTATAAAAATCTTATTTCGCACTTCCAGTTGTTTGAAATATTAATTATTAATGAATTCACGGAAAAAACTAATGTCTGAATTTCATACTGTGGACATTATGCAATGCGTTGAATCAATATTCATTAATTTTCGATGCAATAAATATTACTTTAATTTTATTTTAATTAATAAAAAGGTAAGATGTTGTTTTAGGACAAAAAAAATGATATTTATAAAATTGTTGCTGTGCATTCCGAGAAGTTTGAAATATTGATTGTTAATCGATTCACAGTAAAAACTGATGTCTGAATTTCTGATTATTGATCAATTTTTGACGTGATAAATATTAATTGATTTTGGTATTTGGAATTCCATTGAATTCTCATTGAAATTCGAAATTTCATGATTTTTTCCCGAATAAATCTAATCCATCAATTTTCAACGCCATAAATATTATTTGAATTTTATTTTATTTTATTTCATTTTATTTTAATTAATAAAAGGGTAACATGTTTTTTTAGGACACAAAGAATATGAAATTGATAAAATTGAATTATGGCATTGATCTAGAGGATTTGCTTGTGTTATTCGTAGTTGTATTTGCTTTCCCCTCGTATTTGTCTTACATCGGCTAGAGATGTGACACACAATGGGCAGGCCGAGGAGTAGTCAAGGCAACGGTCCAGGCACATCCAACAGTATGTGTGTCCACACGGTGTTGTCACTGGTTTCCACAGCGATCGACAGCACAGTATGCAGTCTAAATCACTTAAACTTGTGCCACTTGATAATGGAGGTAGTAGTATTTCTGCCGGCATCGAGTCAATTCCTAAACAAGTGGGAAATTGCTTTCGTCACACTATAGTCCATATATTTTTGATGTATTTTAAATTCAGTTCAATGATTCGTTGAATTCAACATTGTCCAAACATTGGCAGCCAATATTGCTCCAACATTGCAGCAGAGTTCTCAGACAAGTCTTACTTGTGCCAAAAAATCGTTCATGAGAAATCATCAAAAAAGTATTTTTTTCTGCCAAATATGCGGAGCGTGCGCCGAGATTAAAAATTTTTGTTGCAAAAATAGATTTAGTCGTTTAAAAAAAATTTATTCTCTGTGAAAGCAAGAATTGTAATTTCTAGCACTACTTCTTCGTTATTCGATGCTTCCATACGTATTATGCTCCCGGCAAATGCTCGTTTTATGTGAGAGGAGGGATAGTAGTTTGTCCTCCATTATCTTTATTCTGACCCTTGTTATTCTGATACTTGATCTGACCTTCGTGACCCTCATTATACCCCCCGTAACCCTTATTCTGACCTTTCTTCTGATCCTCATGATCCTTATTCTCACCCTCATGACCCTTATTCTGACCCTCATTACCCTGATTCCGAATCTCGCGACCCTTATTGTGACCCTTGTGACCTTTATTCGGATCCCGTTGACCCATATGATCGTTATTCTCACCCTCATGACCCTTATTCTGACCTTCGTGACCTTTATTATGATCCTCATGACCGTCGGGGTCCTTATTATCACCCTCATGACCCTTATTCTGACCCTCACTACCCTGATTCTGAACCTCGCGCCCTTATTGCGACCCTTGTGACCTTTATTCGGATCCTTATGACCCTTATTTTGACCTCATGACCTTATTCTGACCAACATGACCCTGATTCTGAACCTCACGACCATAATTCTGACTCGTGTGACCTTTATTCGGATCCTCATGGCCCTCGTGATCATTATTCTCACTGTCATGACCCTCGTGATCCTTATTCTCACCCTCATGACCCTTATTTTGACCCTCGTGACCTTTATTATGATCCTCATGACCGTCGGGGTCCTTATTCTCACCCTCATGACCCTTATTCTGATCCTCATTACCCAGATTTTGAACCTCGCGCCCTTATTGCGACTCTTGTGACCTTTATTCAGATCCTCATGACCCTCGTGATCCTTATTCTCACCCTCATGACCCTTATTCTGACCTTCGTCACCTTTATTATGATCCTCATGACCCTCGTGATCCTTATTCTCAGCCTCATGACCCTTATTCTGACTCACATGACCCTGATTCTGAACCTCAAGACCATTATTCTGACCCGTGTGACCTTTATTCGGATCCTCATGACCCTCGTGATCCTCATTCTCACCCTCATGACCCCGTATTTTGACTTTTGTGACCGTTAATTGTGAAATCTTCGTGCCCCTCGAATGAATGATTCGCCTCTTGAGCCAAATATTTCGTTGTTGGTGAAGGCAGAGCAATTATTCATGTTTGAGACTTTCAAATTCGAACCAAACAATTATTTTTGTTGGCCCAAACACGACTTGTTTCAGAACATCGCCATCTACCGAATGAACAAATCAAGCCTCTGTTGAATCGGCATCGAGCAGCTATTAATCGATCTGATAGGCAGATTGTTCTTTCTCCCAGAGTATTGAGTCAACCGACAATTAACGAATTAATGATCCTGTAGAATATGTAAATTTAAAAAAAACAACTCACTCTTTAATTTTTCAATCTCCTGATAAACCCGATCCAAGACGTTATGAAACTTGACATTGGTCTGGGGCGCATCGTTGAAGAGTAGCCTTCGGCATATGGCCTGCAATGAATAATAAAATCATCTATGAAAAGGTACAATGAATAACAGATAGAGAGGGTGAAAATGGTGTATTTCCGTGGATTGTGGAGGAAACGGTGCGGGTGATGGGGAAGAGAACGTTCTGGTTTGCAATCGATAACCTCGCAGCCGCGCACCAACGTCGGCACGTAAATGACACCAAATTGCAGAATCGAATTTCAACAATTAATAATTAAAGCGGATCCAATTTAATACCGTTGATTATCCACTTAGGGATGTTTATATTTGCGTTTAAGAGGAATGAATATTACGAAAGTGGAATCGATTGTTTTCGTACTTAGCCGTTGAGTATATTTTTTTTGCTCAGAGTATTGTCATAACTTCGGGATTTTTCTCTTAGTGCACTACACTAAGAGAAAAATCGACATAATATCACAAAAGTCATTTCTTGAGCGAAAAACATCGCATACATATTTGATCAATTTATGGAAGGTTTCAGGCAAGAAATCGGTACTCTTCGGGCTTAGGAGGAAGTTATGAAATGAAAAGGTGATGTCCTTTTTCGAAGTGAGATAATATTCCTTAAAAGACAAGAATAGTTTGACAGAAGGAAAAGAAGATATTGCTTCCCTTCGAACTCAAAGCGATTGAGCGCAAGCGACGGTTATGTATTTTTAATATCTGGAGGTTTTCCTCTGCATAAACTCTCTATTCGTTCAATATGAAAGTCTCCGATTCATGATTCACTGAATCGAAACTTTTAATATTTTTAGTCATTTTCTCATCTTCTGACACGAAAAAACCGATTTCTTGTGGCAAGAAATTCTCAGTTTATCATGAAATGTTCATGCTCAAGTCATGAACACTTCACCGAAATCTGACATTGTCTGACACATTATCCGGAATTCTTATCCCAAGAAATTTATCCTCAAAAGATGGGATATTTGGCGTAAGAAATTAGTTTTGTAATATTATGACGATATTTCTCTCAGTGTATTATGTAAGTTTTGGGGGTCGTTGGGAGGGGCTATTCACCTGTGTGAATTCCTCCTCGCTGCTGCTGTTGTCCTCGCAGTCCGATGAGTTTAGAGCTGGACGACGGTGGCGCTGATTGGGACTCATCAGAGGTCGACGGTGATGATAGTGATGGTCACGGTTTCTTCTCACGCGGGCGTTGCTCTCTGATATTATGCTGTAGGGACTGCGAGCTGTAGGCGGACTTTGTCGACGGTGATTTATTGATAATATGCGGTGTAATACCTGTGGAGATATTCAATTTTACAGGGGATTGGATTTAAGGGCGTCTTTGAAGAATGATGATTTTTAATGTTCACTAAAAAAATAGTTTTCGATTTTTCGATTCTCTAATTTTACTTGTAAATGACTTGGAATGTCATGCAACGATAGTGATGCCGTCGAGACTAGACGAGAATTATTTTGGAAAGATCATCACGGTCTAAAAAAACATCGAAAGTTTAGGAATCGTCGGAATCTCGAAAGACATTGGATCGGTGCATCTCGTCATGAACTTGAACGAATCCATCACGTCTGAGTTTCAGTAATTCTGTTTTTCAAATGTTTGTCTCGATATCTGTCTCGTCTCGTCTCGTGAACGTGAAAAACCGAAAATCTCGAGATCCACGCAAGATAAATCCTCCCGGAATTGTGACGAGATGCACCGATCTAATGTCTTTCGAGATTGCGACGATTCCAAAACTTTTGATGTTTTTCCAGACCGTGATGATCTCAAAATAATTCTCGACTACTCTCGACGGCATCACTATGCAACGTCGAGGTATGATGGTTCTATGGCACGACTTTTTAGCCGACCCACGCTGCCACGTTTCGGGAAAATTCCAAATATGGAAATGACGAGTGAGGCCCAGAGAGTGCGTGGTGGTGGGGGGAGGACGCTAGGAGGGTAGAATAGTATTTTTAAGGCACGAGGGTGAGACCGCAGAGGCAGTTGATTGCGAGAGTTTACTATTGAAGCGTAGACGTTAGACGAAGTCATTTTGGACGGATAAAATAAAATAAGTGTAAATAGAGTGAATTCGAACAAAATATATTCAGCTGTTTCATCTTTTAAAAAGTATTTCCACAGTAGTCAATTAGTTAATATCACTGAAGGCTGGTTAATATCACTAATGATGAGAAAATAGTAAGATGAAGTTGACTTACCCTCGTCAATTCATGTCGTACATTCTGCGTATTCTTCTCAATAGCAACACTGGTGCACAACGCGAGAAAGGCCTCTTCATGCCTTCCCAGTGCAGACAGTGCAACTCCTCTCCTGTAATGGCCCTAAATTGATAAAACAGAAATAGTCATTACGCTTGTGCTTCTCAGTTCATGTAATCAGTGCATTCCCCCGTCCGCCCACATTGCATTAAAAAGTTCCACTCGTAAAATGTAAAACTCATTGTGGACTACAATCTCTCAATTGCATCACGTCGATCGATAGCGCAATAGGCGATGAGGAAATGTCAACTAATGTTTTCATTTCATCCTAAATTTGTGGATGTTTTTTCCACTCTGTTATCGCCAATGTTTAATTACGTAATAATGACGAGGATTAGGATAGTGATGTCGCGAGACGCGACTTGAGACGAGCCAAACGAGACAAGAGACATGACGAGACGATACGAGAACGAGAGAAACGAGAGGAATTCAAGTATTATAAAATGAAAATTGTTCATCTAATCGTAAGAAATGAACGGTTTTCTCAGTAAATTCAAGGTGAAATTTACCATCAGCACATTACCACTGAATTTAGTCGATCAATGAAGTATGACTGAAGTATAAACGGAAGCATAGTTCAACAGGATGTTGAATATTACGACAAACCGGATATTCGCAATTTCTCGGGTAACATCGACTAATGTTTCTCCATAATAAAACGAAGTGGATAGAATTTTTATTTACCTTGCCCCAATCCGGTCGCAGTCTGACAGCATGATCAGCGTCTGTGAGGGATGCCTGGGGTCTGTTCAATAGCAGCAGTGCGTGGGCTCGATTGCTCAGGTGTAATGGACTATTAGGTGCTGCAACAGAAGAAAAAAATCACGAATTAAATGATAATTCATCCCAAATCCTATTTTGATACTTGGAATGAAGTTGAAATTACAAATTTCACTAAAAATTCAATGAAATTCCAGATTTTTGAGCAGCTGGAAGACTAGAATTTCTAAGCAAAACATGAGTATTCAGTGCCAAATGACGCCGAATTTTCCTGAATTCTATTAATTTAAATAGAATAGGGGAGGGTGGGGCAAAACGGCCCCCCTTCAATTGTCAATAACTTGTGAATGACATTGTGAAAATTCCCAATTTCAACTTCATTTTGAAGATAATTTTTCATTCTTCAAAACGAGCTCTTACTCATCCCAATCGGATGATTGAATCGGAAAATATTGACGATTGAAGGGGGACCGTTTTGCCCCATCCTCCCCTAAATGAAGAAAAATTTAGTACGTCCCGTGATTTTTCCATAAAATTCGGACTTTTCAATGATGAAATCAGTTTAAATTTCATTGGAACTGGAATTGTGATGAAAATTTCCACGAAGCCTCCCGGAAATTTTAGCCAAAAATTTCCAACACTGAATTAAAACAAAAAATGCGCTCATAATTCCACAATATCTTTAATAAAGAGGCAATTAATGAGTGGAAATTATTTTATGCTTCAACCGTTTTCCAATCACCGAAGTTGAAGAAAGATCATAAAACAGTTGTTTACACCGATTATTCAATAAAATCCACGGAAAACCTGAAGCATTGCAGGGGACTTTTTACAATCTCTCCCCTAGCAATCAACTTCTCTAAAACAAATAAATTTTAAATCGAAACCGGAATATTCAGTACCAAATTGCCCTGATTTCTCTTAATTATAATGGAAAAATTAGCCAAAGTTTAAAATTCCCACTGATTTTTCCGATGAATTCAGAATTTTCAATGACGAAATTCCTTAAAATTTCAGTGGAATTATAATTGTGATAAAAATTTCGAAGGAATCTCCCGGGAATTTTAGCCAAAAATTTCTACCACTGAACGGCAACAAAAAATTCGCTCTTAGTTCCACAAGATCGATAATAAAAAGGTCATTAATGAATAGAAATTATGTTGTGCGTTATCTTAAATCATTCTTCAATCGTCGAAGGTGAAGAAAGATCATAAAACGGTTGTTAACACCGATTATTCAATAAAATCACCGGAAAAAATAAAGCACTGCCGCCGATCTTTTGCAATATCTCCCCCAACAATCAACTCCTCTAAAACGAATGGATTTTAAATCGAAACAGAAATTAGAAATTATTTTATGCCTCATCCTAAACCATTTTTCAATCACCGAACGTGAAGAAAGAAAGAAAGATCACAACACAGTTGTTACCACCGATTATTCAATAAAATCCCCGGAAAAAATAAAGCATTGCGGCCCATCGTTTGTAATCTCTCCCCCAGCAATCAACTCCTCTAAAACAATCAGCGAGAATTTAAATGGACAAACTATGCTTTGTGTATAATACTAGTCGACCATTGAGCGTGGAAACTTTCATAATCTCCCGTATAACTTTGCGTAACAAACAACGGGTTTATCTTTTTTTTTTCACTCTGGTCCATGAAGTAGACAAGGGGAGGGATGTATTTCACAAGCCTGTATACCATTTACCCTACCGTCAATTACCGTTACGAATTTTAACGATCTTTCGTAATAAATTGACTGAGTAGGAGCGATTGAGATAAAATTGTTGCGAAAAATTGTTGACTAAGGATATTCAAGCAGCTTGGCTGTTTTTTCTCCAACGAAATTCGTTTCTACTTTTGTAGACTATTATAAATTTTTTGAAATTTAGGCAACAGATGCATTTGAATTTTCAATATTCGAAACTTGAATTCAATTTCAGACTAAATTGCTCATAGAATGCCTGATTCAGCTTGGAAATTCAATAAAATTAAGTTTTTCATGATGAATGATCATTGAATTCAGTAGCGAAGTTGTCAAATGGTTTAAGTCACTTTAGTCTTTAGTTGAGTTTTCCAGAATTATTTCCGAATTTAAGGAAGATAGAGAAATTTCCATAATAACCTTCTTTGTAGAGCGAATTGAGTGCTACTAAAAAGGTTATGAGTGAAATTTTACTATCTCCCTTGGATTTCGAGATATTCATTGAAAACTGGTCAATAGCCAAAATCGACTTAGAAACCGTTCGCGACTGAATTTTCAATGACAATTTGGATTTTCACACCTATCGCGAAAATTAAGCATTACAGTAGAGTCTCCCTAACTTCTCTACTCTCTAACTTCCCAGCGATCAGCGATAGTGGGGAGAGTGTTCCCTTACTCTGAGCACCCCAAACGTGAGTGAGTGATATGCGTGAATCCCTCTGCGCTTGGTGAATGCGCGGTAAACAGTCTCTGCTCCCGCACGTTTTTCATACTCCGTGTGTCCCATAACCTCTCACTCTCACTCTACTTGGGCGATGCCCCTCTAGCGACAGAGTGTGGATGCCCGCAACCACTCATTTCGTGGAATTTGTAGCCCCAACGTGGTGAAGCTAGGGAGACTCTACTGTACCTACAATTCACTTTTCAAGAGATTAAAAATTCAGAAGAGAAGTTGCCTGAATTTTCACGATTTTCTGTAATTTTCATTATCTTATGAACCTGAGAAATCAAATTTCATTGAATGTTCAAGAAAATTGACTGATTTATCAGTGACAAGATCAATGAAAACTCCATGTGAATTATTTGTTGTTAAAAATTTCAAGAGTTTTTACTTGAAATTTCAAGAGTAATTTTCTAACAGTGTAGTCGAACATTGGAGCATTCATTTGAGGTCCATTTGACCATAAAATTGTGGATATTTTATAATGATTTTATTACCTAAACTTCGCAGGTCAAAATGTGAATCTCGATATTGAACGGTTATAAAATATTTTAAAAATCTGAAAAAATTAGAAGGTTTACTTTTGGAGAAAGATTGATAAAATAATCAAAAAATTGCAAGTTTTGAAAAATTCCGAGCATTTTCTATGAATAATTTATAAACTATCAATTTTCCGCTTGAATGAAAAAATAAATTTTAAAATTTCCGAACAAAAATTCTGAAAATTGAAAGTATCAATCCTGTGCAAAATATCATTTGAATAACGCTGAATATTCATGATTAAAAAAAACACTTTCTCACAATTTAATTGACAAATTTGATGATTGAAAATGATTGAATCTACCGTGTGGTCTAAGGAGCGAGGAAAAATGCTGAACATTGATCAAATGTTTTGCGGAAAATTTTTTTTCCAGTGAGTTGAATAAAAATTATTTGCATATCAATGCGTCATGTATCGAGTACATTGACCAGACAGATTGACAGTGCGTCGAACTCTCTCCATTGCATGGTAGTTTCCCGCGAATGTCGAGGTCGATACTATCGAAGCGTTAAATCGATGTTACAGAGGCGTAGAGGGACAAACCGTGGGTAAACGTGTGGTTCTCAAAGGCATGGCTGAGTTTACTGTGATCTCAAACCATTGGATTACATAACTCATTCGTAGGTAAACGCCAACGGTTACTGGGTACTATTCCGGTCGTTGTTTTCATGTAAATTGTATCAATTCCTTTATGGGGAACAATGGGTCTGCAGGATATTGTGAAAATATCTGTGGAACAATTGCTGCTTGGGGTTTTTGTAATGGTAATGTTGATTTTGATTTTGTGATATGCAATGTGTGTAAACTTTAAGCAATCAGGCGACCTTGAAACTTGCGCTGTCTATGGGGTTATCGGCAACCCCATCGCAACAGCCCAGCCAATATTTTTGGGAGTATGCAATGCCCATTTCCAGACGAGAACTCGTGAGAAGCAGTATTTATTATTTTGTTATTTATTTATTCAAGACCCAACAACCGAGGCCAATTATTATCCGTAAAAAATGAATCTGCTACAAAAATGAATTCGCTTAAAAAGTGAGCCCGTTTCAAGAATGGTTTCACTTCCAAAATAAGCCCACTTCAAAAATTGGTCCGCTTCAAAAATTGCTGATGTGCTGGGGGCCCAGACCGAAACGATTTCTGTGCTCATTGAAAAAAAAATCATCTCTCAAAGATCTTTCAAAGACAAATTTTTTGATTCAAAAGATCTTTCAATATCATTTTTGAAGAATATTTTTCCATGATAAAAATCTTTCAAAGATGAATTTTCGGCTTTCGAATGATCTTTTGGCGCCAAAAAAAAGATCTTTGAAATAATTTTTCAAAGTTTCAAAGATCTTTCAAATATCTTCCAAAGACGGATATTTTTCTACTCGGGACGGATATTTTTCTATATTTACTTAAATTAATTACACAGCAAAATGACAAATCGCGAAGGGAAAACATTCTTCTCTTCATAAAAAATCCTAATCAACCATTCATCTTCATTCATCTAATGCCTCTGAATCATCAAATCCCAAATTGTTTCTGGACAATGTCAATGTGACCTTCAGAAGTCCCCGACAAACGGTCGAATACCGTGGGTCGATCGACCATGTCAAAGGAAGCGATCAAGAAGCACGGAACAGTAAATGAATACGTGGCCGGGTTGACCGACCTTTACGTAACACAGTCGATGTTTGTTGCTGACGTTTATACCCCTCTTTGCGATCTGTCGTTTTGCTGCAGCTGCACGATATTTTTCCTCTTTTCCCCCGGCAGCGTTGCTGTCCTCACCTCAGTTTATTATTTCAGTAGATTGTGTCATTTAGCTGTTGTCTGAATTTTGAGTTTCTTATGGTCTATGACAATGTGACAGGCAATGTGAGGCGTAACAGGAGTTTTTGATTTATTTCGCCAGCAAAATTTATGTACGACGGTTTATGATCACTTGGGGCAATTGATAATAGGTTAAGGTATTTCGTGAAGTGGAAGATGGATCTCATTGTTTTCGAATCATAATGCAACCCCTGAATACGAAAATTTTCAATTTTCAAGTAACGATTTCAGTCTGCATTTGAATATTTCTTGAATATATTTTCTGTCAGATTGATTGACTTTTTTCCATCACTGATGAG